TCCCCTGGGGCACTTTGAGTTCGTGGGAAAAGGGGGAGGTGGGTCTTGGCAGGAGAAGCCCCCGGGGTGGGCAATGAAGGAGGGAGCAGCACCCTGGGTTGGCAGTGGGGAGGGGGAGCACCCGGGATGGATGGAGGGATCAGCAGCTGGGGGGGGGCAATAGGAAGGGGGACAGCACCCCGGGGAGGAGATGGGGAAGGGGGAGCAGTTAGAGGGGTGATGGGGAAGGGATCAGCACCCAGGGGAGGCGATGGGGAAGGGGGAGCAGTTAGAGGGGTGATGGGGAAGGGATCAGCACCCAGGGGAGGCAATGGGGAAGAGGAAGCACCCGAAGCAGACAGTGGGGTAGGAGGAGCCATGGCATGGGGACTCTAGGCACTGACAGGGCTGCCCTGCAGACAAGCTGCTCCTGAATGTGCGGACAGAGTTTGTGAAGCGTGTGAGCAAGCCGCTGATCTCTGGGCTGCTGGACGAGCTGCTGGCCCAAGGGGTGCTGAACCTGGAGGAGGTGGATGAGGTGCAGGATAGATACACGGTGCGCACCGACAAAGCCCGCTGCCTCATCGACAACGTGCGCCTGAAGGGCCCCAGGGCCAGTCAGATCTTCATCGACAGCCTCAGGAGGTGTGATGGCACCTTGGCGGAGCAGCTGGGTCTGGCCGCTGAGTCGGGTGAGAGATGCGGGGCCATGGTTTGGCCCTGGCCATGCTGGGGCTCCCGGCACCTCTGGGAGGGTGTTGGAGGGAAGCCTGGCCCTGGCAGGTGTCCGAGGCCTTGAAGGCAAGGGGCAGTTGGGCGTCCCTGGTGTCACTGCTCTGTGGCATTGACTCCCCCTTGCCATGCAGTGACAACAGGGCACTCGGGTGGCTGTGCCCTGTGGGGCTGAACAGGGACCCCTAAGGGGCAGAGCCCAGCTCTGTTTGCCTGCCCATGCCCTGCAAGAGTCCCCTCTTGCTGCAGGTGCTTCCCAGTGTAACTGCAGGGCTTTCTGCTTGCAGGGCCCCCCGGTGCGCAGCTGGCCTCCCCCAACACTGAGGCTCCTGCTGGGCCCCCCGTTGGCATCCAGGGCCAGCAGTGGATCCAGCAGTGCTCCCTGAGCGAGTACCAGCGCATCAGGGACACAGAGGGAGACCAGGTGCTGTGAGCGGAGGAGATGAGAAGAGGGCTGGAGCGTGGCCTGGACACCCTGCCGGACCGGGCAGGGACTTGCCAAGGGGAGCCAGGGTCCTCGCTGACCCAGGAGCAGGGCAGGACATGTGGGGAGATGCCCCAGGGACAGGGAGAGGTGGTTGCTGCACCCCTGGGCTTTCTCTGCTATTAGCAGCCTGCCAAGAAAAGCCCCCTGCACCCACCCGCTGCTGAGTGCTGCCTGCCTCCCTCCTCACAGGTCTATCCCATACATCTGCCACGGGAGATGCGAACCCGTAGGGCCTTGCTCATCTGCAACATTGAGTTTGAACACTTGAGCCGGCGGAACGGAGCTGAAGTGGATGTGGAGGGGATGACAAAGCTGCTGGAAGGGCTGGGCTACGTGGTGGACATCCATTGCAACTTAACTTCCGAGGTAAAGGACTGCACAAAGCAGCTGCCACCGGCCCTGGGAGTGGTGCAGACCCTCCTTGCGTGCATTGGTGATGGGAAGCTCAGGCACCACAGGGACACCTCTGTCCCCAGTGGCAGTGGCTCCTGCCCACAGCTGGTGGCTGGGTCTCCACACCGCTGGTCACAAGTGGCTGATGTTCCTTCCTTGTGCTGGTTTGTAGGGGATGGTTGCGGTCATGAAGGATTTTGCACATCACAAAGACCACTTGACCTCTGACAGCACCTTCCTGGTCTTCATGTCCCATGGGGTCAGGGCTGGGCTCTGCGGGACCAAGAGCAAAGACGAGACCACAGACATCCTTTCCCTCGACATCATCTACGACAGATTCAACAACAAGCGCTGCCAGGCACTGCTGGGCAAACCCAAAGTGGTCATTGTCCAGTCCTGCCGCGGAGGTGAGTCCCCGCTACGAGGTGCCTGTGAGGCGAGCGAGCCGGCCAGGCTCTCCCAGGGCACGTGAGCGCCAAGCACAGGGTGGAGAGGGGACACCTCACCATCGCTGATGGCTGGCCCTCCCTTCCTAGGAAACATAGGGTCCGTGATGGTGAGCGACTCCGCAGACCCTGCCATGCCCACTCCCAGCTGGACTCACCCAATCCCTGCAGGGCTGGAAGATGACGCAATCTGTGAAGTCCACCTGGAGAGTGATTTTGCCACTTTACATTCCTCCACGCCTGGTAAGCAGTTTCTGGAAATAGTTGCCCTGCCTGAAGGGCAGGCGAGGGCAACAGAACTCCCATTCCTGATGCCATGGGTCCCCTCCACACCTCCTCCTCCTCGAGGTGGGTTGTTGGGGGTCTCCTCCATCCAGTGACCGCTTGGGCATTGCTCCAGCAGCCTCTGGAGAAGGCAGTGTCCCCCGATGCCAGGGTACAAGGCTGCTCCAGGACACCCTCTTAGTGGCACCAGGGCCAGAGCTTTGTGCCCCTGCCTGGCTGCCCTTCCTCACCTCAGCTCCAGCCCTCCCCACCGGCTTTGCCTGCGCTCCTTCCCCAGCCAATCGATCTCACTGCAGTCGCTGGCCGGGGGAAATTGTCTTCTTCTGCTGGGTGACAGATGGCCCCAGGCTGTGCCAGCCTGGCAGCTGGCAGGGCTGGGAGCATGGGAGAGCAGAGAGGCTTGAAGAAAATCTTCATATCACTTCTGCCTTCCCTAGGATGCCCTGTCCTTTTGCCATGCTGTGGGTTCGTTGGGCCAAATACAATGATCTCAGAGAAGGTGCTCTAGTCTCCTGCTCCAGCACTCAGCATTAATCACTGTTGCAGTGAAGGACACCAGTGAAATCACACCTGACATCTTCTGTCTCCCCAGATACTGTCTCCTGGAGAAGCCCAGTAACCGGCTCCATTTTCATCCAGCGCCTGATAGAGCAGTTTCGAAACCATGCCTGTAACAGCGACTTACAGGAGATCTTCCGAAAGGTGAGGCTGGGTAGTTAACTGCAGCCATGCCAGTGGTCAGAAATATGGCTCAGAGCAGGGCTCGGGCCAGGGCAGGCCATTTCTCAAGCAGGGAGCAGGCTCTATCAAAAAGGGGTCTGGTTTGGCCTGGAAAGTCAGCTGGATCCCTGGAGGCATCAGCGCCCTGCCACGTGGTGGGCACACATGAGCCCGTTGTGTTGGCACAGCCCATGGCATCCGTTGTGCCACCAGACACGTGCCCTGGGGATGCCTCCTGACTCCCTGCACCCTTGCCATGCTGGGAACGGAGCTGCTCACATTTCTCCCCGCTGTCTCTCTCACCCCAGGTCCAATATTCCTTTGGAAAATTCCCTCGGCAGTTGCCAGCACAAGAACGGGTTACAATGCTCAGGAAGTTCTACCTGTTCCCAGGTCTCTGATCTCCTGCCCACGGTGAGTCTCTTCACCTCGCACCTCTGCGGCAGACTTTTGTCTGTGCCCCAAACCCAGTACCCGGCCAGCGGGGAGGAGTGGGGAGAAATTCCCCGTCACTCCGGGGCTCCAGACCTTACGGCTTGGGCAGGATATCCAAAGGATTTGTGTGCTGGTACCGTGCTGTGGCCGGATTCCATCCCCATCTGCCAGCTGGCCGTAGGAGAGACAGGTGCTCAAGGAACTCATTTCAGTAGCCCATGTCTCAGGAGCTTCTCGGTCTAATGTTCTTGACAGGTGAAAAAATTAATACACGGACAGCAAAAGTGTTTGAATTGGGGGATAACACAGCAGAAAGCTCAAGGCGAACACAGGCTGCTCCAGAGAGATGCACTTCTTCAGAAAAGATGAGGAAAAGCCAAGAACAGCTCTGCAGAATCTCCAAACCAGCTACTTGTGCCCCCTCTGCGAGGCAATTACAAACAGACCTGCCCTTGGTCTCCTGTCCTGCTGTGGCCTCCAAAGAGCCCCAAACTGAGCAAACCCTTCCCAGGGAGCAGCAGACACCTGGCTCTGGAGCACCGAACACAAAGCTGGTTAGCGTCTCTCTTAACTGTCCCCAGACAGAGCCCAGCTGCAAAAATCCGTCACCCCCAGAGCTACTTCCGCCCCATCTCTGGCTTTACCCGTCACCAAATAAAGGCATTTTCATAGCAGACAGCGCTGCTCCTCTGCCTTTAGCCCGCAGTGGGTGGATGGTCGTTACAGCCGGCAGTAGCTGCTGTTCCGTTGCCTTCTCGGGGGTAAGGGGTGGGGGGGAGACGCCGAGTAGGTGGGAGGTGAGAAATCAGAGAGAGCTCAGGGAGGAGGTGCCGCCCACCTTTGGGGCTGGCTGGGCAGATGTGCTCCAGGGGGGTTTCCATGCCTCCCCCCCTTGCAAGATCGCAGCATCTCCTTGCTCAGGAGGCAGCTTCCCCCAGTCCCCAATCCTCCCGCTGCCCCTGAGGTGGAGGAAGGACGCGATTTCCCCTGGGAGCCAAGAAAGATCCTCAAACCTGTGTCTAATGCTCACTGCTCCCACAGCTCTGCCCAGCCCAGTTGTCGCTGCCCACCAGCATCCCCGCTGGTAAGCGGGAGCCTCTTCCTGTGCCCACCCTGCCCTCCGCAGCCACATCCAAACCATGTTCTGCCTTGGCATGGATTCAGCTTTATTGCGCGTTCTGCAAAGTCAAGACAGATCCAGAAGCCGGTGGTCTGGCAGGAACACGAGAGGGCTCTCCTGCCCCCTCCTAGCGTCCGAGCCGTTCCAGTGCAGGCAGGACAAGCTGCGCAGGAAGGGCAGTGTCCTGGGCCGGTGCCATCCTGCGAGGTGGCAGGAGAGCTCAGCAGGATGGAGGTGCCTCACTGCTCCAGCTCCAGGTGACCCGGGGTGGGAGAAGGCCTTGCAGGCAGGACTGGACTGCAATGTGGGCAGCTGGTCCAGGCCGAGCTGCATGGAGCCCCAGGTCACTGCCTGGAGCTCCTCGGGTCCCACGTGGTGCTTGCAGAAACCCTGGTCCCCAGCACTACGGTGGTGGCAGGAAATTGAGGACAGCAGTGATGAATTCTTCAAATTTATCCTGATGGACTATGTGGCCTGCACCTTCGATGTGCTGGACATCTGCCTTGGGGAAGAGGCACTGGATCTCCGGGTAGTCTTTGGAGCTGCAGGACAAGGGAACGTGCCGTGGGAAGCGTGGTCAGGGGTCCACCCAGGTGCCTTCCCTCACCCTCCCCAAGCCAAGGAGGATCCCAGGTCTGACCGCGTTCCGTTCCCTGCTGTGAAAGCCCGGGGCTGCCCTTGGGTTCTCCCTCGCTCTCCAGCGCATTGGTGTCACCAGCTGCTGGAGACACAAAGCTCCCTCCAGGACCTTCCCCATCTTGGGGGCTTCCTCCCACCCTGGACAGCCGCAGAAGAGCACAAACTTCGAACTGCTTCTCTCCAGTCGAACCTGATATAGGGTGAGTTGGATCCTCCCAAGAAGAGTGCTGGGCCAGGATACGGCTTGTGGAAGACGGGGAAGTTCATGATATCTGCCAAGTGGTGGGAAATAGCCTCCAGGTTCACCCGCCAGATGTAGCGGCCCTCCACCTCCACCAGGTTGGTGAGGAGGAACTGTCTCAGCTGCGGGAGCTGCCACAAAAGGGGACCATACGCTGTTCTGCAAGAGCAACAAGCCCTCAAGATGCCCCGGCACCCTCCATCCTCCCCCCTCCATCCCCTTCTGCCCGTGTCCCATGCTGTCACATTCCCCATCGCCCCTGCAGCCCTGGTGAAATGTCCTCCAGCGGTGAGTAAGCAAGGGTGGAAAGAGTCCTGCTGAGACCGTGGCCCTAAAGCCCTGTGCTCCAGTCCCAGGGACAGGCTGGGAGCAGAAACCCCATCCAAGGAGCGGGATGTCCTACCTGGACCACTGGCCGCAGCTGCTCGTCAGCCAGCTGGCGGGCCGTCAGCCAGCTGGCGGGCCGCAGAGCGGGTCAGACCATCCGGGATCTTCACCGACTTCATGGCAGAGATGTAGGCAGAGAATTCAGAGACGGGTGCGGTCGAGACGGGACTAATGTCTACGGAGATGAGGCGCTCCACCAGGTCTGGCTGGGGACGTAAGCAGGGCAGATGGATGCCAGCTGAGATCTCCCCAGCAGGACCAGGCACGGGGCTCCGCTCCCACCCGGACTCCCTGGAGGCCTTTAGCTCCCTCCTGCCTCAGCAGCGCGCTCCACGTGCCCTTCCCCGCGTTCCTATTTCCCCGTGCCTCGACGCGGTTGATCTCCAAGCTCCCTCGCGCTCCGCGCAGGAGGCGCAGGGCAGAGCGTGGGGCTGACGGGCACAGACCCGCTCCGGCTCCCGCAGCCCAGCTTACAGCCCTGAGCGGGACAGCAC